CCACCGCTGTCTCCTTCCGATCTTCGCTTCTTTGGACACCTGGGGACGCGGGAGCCAGGTGAAGTATGCGATGTCGTGTTTGTTTCAGATAGTCCGGCCAGCCTGAAACAAACCCTTCCGAACTTCTTAGTCCCAAGGGACAGCTCGAGAAACAGACATGTGGGAGCCTATGCCTGTCCTCTTCCTACGAACATTTCTTTTACACAAGGGACAAGAACAGAGACACATTGTATTATCATTAGCAGTATTGCTAATAAGGCAGATTTTCGCCAAGCATAAGCGCTTTCGGATTTTTGATCACATCATCAAAAAGATTCCTAAAATGGTTTCTTTGCTTCCAGGGACAATATAAACTCGGTACTTGAAGAGCTCAGCGAAAAGAAACTGGAGTTTAGCCTAATGCGAGATTTACTTTCCCAGCTCGAGTTCAGAGAGCACCGCGGGGGGCGAAGGTTGAGGGGCCCTCAGAAGAACACACCGTTTCTGAATTGAGGGTGCTGGGCTGCGCAGCGGCGGAAATTGCCTAGGTTTTGCTGAGGCTTCCCAAAATGTCAGATGCTGACTCCCAGAAGTATCACCCCAACGATCTGTTGATAAGACAGCAGGGTGGGTTATTTCTTGAAGTCTGGTTTAAATCGGGTCTTCAGTGTGGAGGACGGGTTAGGACACAGTAAACACGGACTAACAGGTTAGGATCTGCGGATGCAACAAGGCCAGGAGTCCGGAAGCCTTGGAACGTGCAGGGTACTTTGATATTTTCTAGTGAAAAGTGGTTGGGTATTTGAGGAAGTTGCTGGAATAAACAATAAAGATATTTGCAACTCTCCTGTGCCTGGTAAATTTATGTTGATGGCAACAGTGAAATATTAAGTCACATGAATGTAACTAGCGAGCCACGTGAATCTAGACGGCTTCCTATCTCTCAGTGGTGAACATGTCGGAGAATATAACATTTTGTCACCTAGAGTATTTTATCCTGGAAAGAAGCTTACTCAGGAAAACACATTTTAAATGGTGTTTGTTACTGTTTGTAAAATGTTACTGTTTGTGAATGAATTCTGTGAGACAGAATTGGGACACAGAGAGATTGATCTTCTGAGGAAACGTTTTCATAAAGTGAACATAGGGTCTTGTAGACGCCTCAGATTTTAAATGAGAACATGCTCTCCCTCGGGCACTGCAAAAGACACACGCATCTTTTATTTTACTGTGTTCTGTTTACGTTTCCAAGGACAGAGCTCAGTCTCCCTTTCAGGAACAGCGGTGTCCAAGTAGGTGTACAGCTTTCCTCCCCACCCCCACCCCTCTCCTCCAGCCTGAGCTTTTCCTGCATCGTGCCCTGCCGACGAGTTTTCTCAAAGTTCCAGGTCCGCTCCTAAGAGGGGAGTCCGTTCCAAACCCAGCAGTCACTCGCTGGAGACTTCAGGGAATCTTTCCCTGGCGCCAGGAATTCCGCGTTCTGGGAAGCCTCCCCGAGTGGAAAGCGGGAAAGGGTGAGTGTGGACCCATCCCTTGGCAAGTGGATGGAAAATCCCGCGTGTTAGGGGTCTGGGGGTCGGGGTGGGTGGGGCTTTAAGAGCGAGATGGGAGGAGGTCGCTAGCTGCGGGGCCACTGAGGAGGAGGCTCCAGCCCTGCGCCCTGGACCTCGTTGAGGAAGTCCGAGGTGGGGACAGGAACGTCCCCTCCTGGAGATCGTGCCAGGGGAGGAGGCGCCGAGGCACTAGCCTGGCTGCTCCAGCGCGTCACCTGCTCTCGCCCATGGGAGGCGCTGCGTGTGGGTAAGAGTGGGCTTGGACGACTTCCCAGAGGGAGGCATTCCCAGTAGATAGGACAGGCTCCACGACTATGACGATCAGGAAGAAGCCACGATTATTATATGTGCAGGAGTTTACGATCTGGGTGAAGAAAAACGATAAGGAGCCCAGGAATACGCATCTCAAAGCTGACAATCAAAGAACTCGACTGGAAAGGGATTGCAAAAGCAGCCTGATGTTTAAAGACTTGCGTCAAGAGCAGATGTGGAAGTATTTTTGATGCCGTGTATGAGAAGGGATCGAGGTCACAAAGGTGACAGCTTTTATACAAAGTGATAGAGCTGAAAGGTGTCTTGGTAGTAATTTTGGGGAACTGGCCTTAAAATGCACACAATACACCCAAAGTAGCTAAAGCTAGCTTCCTGTTCTGTGGGTGTCCTGGGCTTTGGTTACAGTCACCTTCAATAGGGCAGCAACAGTAACAAGAAAAAACCCCAAATCATTCGAAAGCTTTACCACTTAGTATCATTCTCTGAATCATTAGAGATTTCTAACACCCCAGAGAGATGCCTGCAGTGATCACCAAAGAATCAGGATTTGGCTGATTCTTTTTTTTTCATTGTGGCTTCTGAAACAGTAAAAATTTCAATGACAAGTACGAGGTGGTAAAGAATACTGGCTTTGAGATTGCCCAGCGATCTGAGCTATCTTGTTTTGGAGAGAGCTAGCTTGGTGACTCCCAAACATTGAACAGCATCCAGTCTGATTTATCAGCATTTGTAGTTAAACAGTTAAGAGCAGACTGGACTCAGCACAATATCATTCTTAGAAATAATTGCCAGGTTTTTCTGCTACAGAAATGAGTCCTGTTCTATTTAAAGCTTACTCTCTTATCCGACTTCTTGGAAAAAATGTAAAAACAACTCTCTTATGGCTTTCCATAGGTTTATATGACACAATGGCCTATACACATTAATTTCAATCAATCGCTCATTCTACAGCTAATTTTATTACGGGAAAAAGATCAACAATATGAGTATAATTATTCTATGCTAAGTGGTCTGTTTGGAAAGTGTTTATTGTCGCTTTTGAATATAAAACCCTGGCTAGAAAATCTTAATTACTTAATGTAACTATAAGAAATTACATATGCT